AAATGTCACAAATGGCATCAAATTTCAACAGTTGGATATGGCGAGTTTCGCAGTCCTTATTGCTCGCCAAATCCATGACTTCGAGATGACGCTTCCACTGCTCCTTAATATCCCCCGGTTCTACCGCCTCATCAAGGCTGCGGCTTGGTCTGAAGGAGAGGGAGGAGAAGATAGAAACAAACGACATCCCATCATCATTGTCGGAGACTGGAACAATCAGTACTAACGACATTCTTTCATAGGATTCAAAGAATCTGTCATCATCATCGTCTTCTCCGAGACCATCCCAATTCATGGTTAGTGTTCTCCGGTCCATTGTAAAAAAATTCGAGCGAATCAAATCAAGAAAATGTGTAATCTGAATTTGTTTTGGCGAATCTAACAAACTGGCTGGAAAGAGACAAGTGGAAGAGAGGAAAAAGAAGGATATAAACTTACAAATTGTTTTTGAGATGTGCCCCTAATCTTATTTTTATTTTTTTATGTTTTCAAATTAAAATTTCATTGAAATATTAAAATATATTTTTAACAAAATAAGTTAATGCAAAAATAGTTTGTAAAAATAGAATATTTTAGTCTCTACTCAGTCCATTGCCTTCCCTATTCATTAGCGCTCTTTATCAAATTTAACAAATTTTGTCCATAAAAAGTTCGATTGTTCACTCAATCTAGCGAGTAAAAACTCTCGATTCTATTCAAAATAATAGAAACCTAAAAAGACTAATGAAACAAAACTTAAAATCTAGTGATTGATTTGGAACAAATACAAGTTTAGTGATCATCATAAAACAAATGTTGAAGTTGAATGACTAATTTAGAACAAATTAAAGTTCAGTGACCAATTGAGTTTTTTAACCCCAAATTCTGCTAACAATCTTCCTGTCTAAACTTCAGCCCTTTTTCCCTTCCATTTGACTCGGCTGATTTTCAAATTCACCCTCTTGAAAATATTAAAGAAACACAAAAATTCTAAAATTAAAGAAAAATCACAAGCTAGAAAAGAGAGTGAAAAATTATTACTCTCTCTCACAACAAACCTCAAGTATGCTCTACAATTAGGCCATGTTTGATTGCACTTCAATTCCATGGAAGGTGTAAATTAAATTCCATTTTTAAATCTTTTTACACGTTTGATTGATCAAATTTTTCATAGAATTGGTTTTCCATCTTTCACATACATGCTCACCCACAGCTTTTCTAGACAACTTTTTTTATTTATATATTTTTTAAAATTTTTTTGGCCATTGAAACAAATTCTATCCTCAATTGTAACAAATTTTATCCATTTAATGGACAATTTATATGTAAAATAAAATCAAACGAATACCAAAAAATTCAAAATTTCAATATTTTTCAGGTGAAAAATTATACAAATTAAACATAATTAATTGACAATTCCCAAATAAAACAAGTTCTAGATAATTTAATTCTCTTAAATTCATTTTCTTTCCACTCAAATTTCATTCT